GCACTACCTAAAGTCACCAAAGAGTACACCCTCCGCTGTTCCTGGCTCATACGGGGCCACTTTCGGCTTCTTCCTGATTCCACGGCATGTGTCCCCTCAACAGTCATTGCCTACTCTCTTGCACGGGAGATAAGCACACAAGAACAGTGGGCAGAAGGTCTAAAGAATGTCCCAGCCAGGCCCACCAGAGCCAGACCCACACTCTCGAGTCTCATCCAGTTTACCATCAATCCAGCCTGATACATCCTGGGGCCTTCTGGCTCAGGGGACAGTACTCTCTGTATCCCATCAAACCAGACCCCTCCCTATTCCTTTCTCATACCAACATCTATACCAAAGCCTGGCCAGGAGGAAGCTTAGGAACAAGCTTCCTTCTTCTGGAAAATTTGGCTTTCCCCCAGCATTTCAAGCCCCCCCTTCCTCTCTCCATTCTTTCCAGCTAAAATATCTCCCTCTCCCAGCTTTCTGGATCCCACTTTTCTTAACATCCATGATCTCCAACACAGTTTCAGGCCACACGCCACTTGGTGTACACAAGGAAAAGGAAGTTCAGAGTGTTGGAGGTGAGCTAGACCAGAGGGAAGGTCAGAGCCAGGGACAGACCATGGATAGAAGGCACACGGGTGATGTGTCAGCCTACCTCAGGAGTACCCTCTGTGGCGTGGATGGATTCACGCTGACAAGGGGTCATTGTGAATGGAGTATGAAGCAAAGGTCAGAAACAAACACAAATGGCACAAGTCTAAGAAGCTGTGAGAAGTCTCTGCACCAGCTGGTGGGTCTCGTCACTAGACTTAACTGCCAGTTTGACATAGCCTGGAGCCCTCTGAGAGGAGCTGCCTACATCATATTTAGCACATCTGTGGAAGATCACCGTGTACTAACTGAAGCAGCACCGCCATCCATAGGTAGTCCTGAAGTACATAGGAAAGCTAGCCAATTAGAAGCCTGTGAGCCTGGCGGAGAGTGATCTGGTGTTCTGATCCTCCAGGTTTCTGTTTCATGCACCCATCTGGACTTTCCTTAATGATGAACCCTGACCTGGCTTATTTGGTAATAAGCCTTTTCCTCCATGAGTTGCTTTTGGTCAACATCGCCAGGAAGGATTTTAGAACAACCAGTGTAGGATGAGCAAGGTCGTAGGTGACTGGAGAATAGACAGAGCCAGGTAATAGAAAGCACGGCAGCCTGTTCCAGGGATCCCGACACTAACTCTGTGGGGATTTGATGCCAGAAAAGATTTGCTTTAATTTACTTTGTTTCTGAGATAAGGGTAGAAAATGTGAAGAAGAATGAAGGTGAGAGGCCAAGGCCAGGAAGCTCACTGGGTAGAGGCCTTGACTGGCAGGGATGAAGCCTGGAGATGTGACCACACAGAGGGACTGGATGGGAAGCTGGGCTAGGAAGATGGGGGTGGCATGGGTGGCCGCGGCAGCAGGTACTGATGAATTAGATGAAACTCTGGTGTTGGGTTGTGCAACCTGTGTTCTAGCATGACCCATAGCAGATGTTGAAGCAAAGCGTCTGGGTACTCTTAGCAGTTAGATGGCTGAAGAACCTCAGGGAAGGCTATGAGGAAGTTAGAAGCAAGGAGCTTGGTGGCCACTTGGTGACAGAAAGTCAGGAAAAGAAGACTAGACACCATCTCTTCTGGGTCCTCAGTTAGGACAATGAGCACACTGTGGTACCCATCTGTGGCAATGGGATCCGGCAGGAGGAACACATTTGCCTGCAGAAAGAGAGGAGAAGGGTCTGCCTTTGATGATCTTTGCATAGAAAAGGCACATTTTTGAGCATCTTCTGCCCTTAATTTTTTTTGGGGGGGGACACCACCCCTTTGGATGATCCACTAGTTAAGATTGCATTCTCATCTTTGACTTAGACTAAGTCACAGGAGGGCTGGGGCTTATTTGTCCCCTTAAGTCCCTGTTAGGTGACTTCAGTGAGTTTATGTCCCAGGAGTGTTTATGGGATGAACACACTCCTTTAGAATGCTTGCTTGATATCAAGGAGCCCATTAGTAGTTGAAGACATAATTGCCTACCACTTAAGCAATGAATTCAGTCTTCCACAGAATAGAATAGACAAGCATGTTCATTGTCCTACACAAGGCTCACTGTCAGCATTCCCCTTATAATATCTAAAATGTAACAAAGCTAGGCAAAACCATTTTTTTTCTGAGTGTTGGGGCAGGCATGTGTCACATACCATACCAAGGAGTTCTTTATATACCTGCTATCATTGAATATGTCAAGAGTTAAGTATTAGTATCCATTCTTTCTACCTTTAGCTCAGGGCTACAATAACCAGGGAAGCACATCCCTGCAGTGAGGAAGAAGTCCACCAGGGGGAGCAATAACACGAGTGCGGAAAAGAATCTGGGTCTGAACTAGACCTAGAAAATTAATAGATACAATCCCAAGGAGCAGAGAAACAATTTTTTTCCAGGTCATATGGCTTTTCTCCTTTGTCTTCTGTTTCCTCCATGTTTTCATTAGAGAACTCTGCTTCTGTCTAAGGACCCCACGTCAATGGAGAACCCATCCCCATGAACTGACTGAGATTATCTTCTGCTTTGTTCCAGAGTCAGCTTGGAGTGGCACTCTAGAGACAATAGACAGCGTCTATCTTCTTGTAAAGGTGGGGAGCCTTGAGGGTTATTCTTAAAGACCTTTTCAAAGTGTTTCTAGGGGAAAGTTCCTGGAATACTGTGCAGAAAGAGACAAGCAGACGAGAAATAATCTGATGGCTGTCATTATATACACGCTGTACTCCCAGCTACTTGGGAAACTGAGGCAGGAGGGTCATGAGTCCAAGGCCAGCCTGGGATGCATAACAAAGAGGGCTTGTTTCAAAACAAGACCCAAAGCTTCATAAAGCTGTGTGAGACAGAGAATTTCTTCACTTGGAGGATTTGCAGCACTAGAAGGAAAGTCTTTAGTAAACACCCTTCATGCAGTGAGACATGGTCACCCGGGGGGAGTGTTTCCTCAGATACACCATATCTGGGTGCTTCCTTACAAAGCTAATTCTGCGCCTCTGCACTGAGATGTTGGGCTAAAGAGTGTGAGGACCCTCCCCAGAGGACTCTCCTACCAGGCCTAAGAACTGTTCTGAACAATCCCCCTCTAACTGATGAATAAAATCCCAGCTCTTACAATCACCACTCAAAATTAGCCAGGATCTGACCCCAACTTGCTTTTATGTATAATTACCCCACATTCCTTTTGATTTTTGTATATTTGTTTCCATTTTTTCATGTCACACTTATTTCTCCCAAAAGAGCAGTGCGCCAATACCGTCCCAATGAAATTCCTTCCAAGATGAGAAGTCAGTTGCAGGAACAACAAACATTGTGCATGGTGCTCAGTGCCCACATTATCATCAGATTCTCAGTAAACATCCACTAAAATAAATATACAAATGCAGGAAGGATCAGACAACTAAACAGGACCAAGCACCAGGGGAGCCCCAGGTGCCTCTGTGGCCTTGAGGACTTTCCCTGAAGGACCATGGCTATTATTGTTTTTTTAAGATCTCATTGCTTTATAGTCAGAACTCAGACCTGAATGTTCATTTGAATGAAAACAGAGAGGTTTGACGCGGTGCATGATTATACCATGCCGCGCCTCTCCATACCAAGAGGTTAATGCCGTCTGAAGCACACAGGTACGGGAATGCCTTCTCTCCCACTCGCTGAATGATTTATGTTATTTCCAATGGCTGTTGGGCAGAGTCAGAGCTGGTGTGAGGTTTATAGTGAAATGCCGACCTTTTCTGCTACGGTGGACGGAAGGATGTAGACCAGGCCAGCGCTTCCTGAGTTACGATGGATAAATTATGTGAGATATGAAGGATATTCACAACACACAGAAAACCCCTGACCAACTAAGACTGTGTTTAAAATAGAAGTGAATATATGCATATGTAATATGCATGTGTATATGTAGAGATAGATAGATAGTAAAATGCTTGATGTCTTAGTGTGAGGACTAGAATTCAGATCCCTGGCCATCATAAATGGTGCAGGCATGACAATCTGCCTGTAACCCCAGGCCTCAAGAGATGAAGCATGGGATTCCCGGGCAAGCTGGTGAGCTGGCGAACTCTGGGTTTAGTGAGAAACTCCTCCTCAGCAAATGAAGAACGATGGCGGAAGTTAGCCAATGTTAAGATCTGCCCCAACTCATGGTCCCATGGGCACATACATGTGAACACACACACACACACACACAGGGTCATCAGCACACTACACAAGTGTGTCCACACACGTGTGACTATGCAGACACACTTGAAAAGCACACATACATGTTTGTTGAGATGGTCAGTGTTTAAAGTGTGAGTAACCACTGTGAGCCTCCTCAGTGTGAAGGCACGGAGGACTCCCCAAGTTCTGAGCCCCACACTTTTCCTTCTTCTTCGATGGAGGGAGCTCGGAGTCACAAGGAGCACACTTTGAGAAATGCTGACACGAGGCCTTTGACAGGGCTTCCTCAGCCTGACTGTTGCGTCATAGAAAAACCACCTGTGCCACTTAATTTTTTTTATTTGTTTTTGAAAAAGATTTTTTTTCTAGACTCCTTCCCGGAATCTACAGCAGAAGGGCACTGAGACTCTAGGCTTCCAAAGCTCTGCTGGAAATCAACCATTGCATTATGGGAACAGCCTTTGGATTTGGGAGAGTCCAGGACCAGTCAGTTCAGTATAATTATTTTTGGAAGGTGACTAATTATCTCAGTTTCTCACCCAGAAAACAAACAGGAATGACACTTACTCATTGGTATATTTTTGGTCCCAAATGACTAAATGACATAACCAGGGGAAACAATTTACACATAGATATTGCTTCCCATTTGTTTTATACACCCTTGGGATTGTCAATAGAAAAATGAGTAGTAGCATTATTTGCCTTTGCTAATCTTTGAGGTTCAGAGGCCAATTTTTGCCTTTCTCCAACTAGAACAACTGTGGGTTCCAGTCCCTGTGAGAGGCCTGTGGCACTCGGACCTTCGCTGTACAGAGAGCACAGTGCGGAAGTCATTTTAGGATGAGCAAGCAGGCTCTGAGGATCACTCCTTGCCTTCATTCACGGTACACAGACCCTCCACTTTGCAAGAGATCATATAAACCACGCCGCTAACAGTGTCTTGGTGAGTTTGTGTTATATGCAGTGCAAAAGTCCAACAGGGCCAGCAGCAGTTGCAAGCTCTTCTGCGGAGGAGAAATTATTCAAAGTACAGATTTCAAAGGTGTGTCTATTTCTCCGAGAGCAGGTGTCGTGCAGTTTTTATAGGCATCCTAACATTTGGTGTCTTCATGCTCTTGTCTTGCTTAGCAATCCCTTAGGCTAGAAAGTTTTAGCCCTATGCTGTGAATGTGGGGATGTGTGCTTGCACATGGGTGTGCATGTATGTGCGTAAGTACAACTACCATTTAGGGAAAAAATGTATGTGTTCATTTAGCCCTGGCCCAGGGAAATGCCTTGTGGGTGAATGAAACAGCACAGACAGTGCCAGTCCTATGAACGGATGTAATTTTGAAGTTCATTTGTAAGTCAGTCGTTTGGATCATGGAACACGTTTTCTCATGGAAAAAAAAATGTAAGAAGAGCCATGGCCCAGCACACAAGAAACTGTTTAACCCCTACAGTACCTGGAGCAAAACAGTTATTTTCATTATTTAGAGAAAACAATGTTTCCATGGGAACCATTTTCAGAGTTCGCCTGACTATAAAATTTTAACTAGTTTCCTAAATCACACTGCCCTTTCCCCCTTAATAAATTACCAAGGAGAGAAGTTATTAATACCACAAATTATATCCTGAATGTTAAGTTAAAATAATATTTCTTTCTTTGCTATCGTATGAACTTTGAAATGTTTGTAAAGGGATCCAGGGAACAAGGACAAGTCTTTTGGAGCATCATGGAGCCGGACCAGTTCTGGCTTTTGTCATTCTGTTTCTTGGCCACTCTCCTGCGTGTGGGAGCCAGGTAAGCTGGCTCCAGGGAAGCAGTGGGTACCGTCCTCATCTTTATTTTTACATCAGGCTTGTATATCTGCTTTTGCTTCCAAGTCTTTACCTTAGCTTTAGTTTTTTTTTACATTCATCTTATAATTTAATGGGAATCTGCAGTAAGCAATAAAATATAGTCTAAGAACCCTGACCACAGGAATCAGAACCATAATACGTGGAATATTCTAGAAGCTGTATAAATATATCGCAGAATCACAGTGTTGGAAAGAACCTAAAGATGGTCTCGCCTCTTCCCTGGCTTCCTGACAGGCCAACCATTCCAGACAGATGAGGGCTTCCCTTTCAGAGGGGGAGGTGACACCGTTGCACCGTTGTCTTTAATCTCTTCTAGGCCTAATCACCTATTCCCTGTCAGTGTAGTTTTGCTTTTATTTTTTATTTAAATTATTTCATCCATAGTTACAGCTGTATTTTCATTCCCGATATTTAAAACAGGGGACAAAGTAGGCTTATCTAATTCAAAACTCCCACAGTGCACCCCATGTTGGAGATCTGTGTTCTTTCCCCTGGGATGTCCTGAGCATTCCCGTGTCTGATCCTACAACCCCCTCTCTGGCCTTTCTTGGCTGTCTGCACATCTTCACCAGCGAGCACCTGGATCTAGAAACTGAGTCTGATAAGACATCTGGGAATCCTGCATGGTATGCATACATAGGGACATTTAAGTACAATCTGGTAAGTAGGCCCTAAGACTTGGATACATCATGGCACATGTAGAGGTCAGAGGACAATCTCAAGAGTTGGTCTTCAACCTATACCTATTTGAGATAGGGTCTCTGCTAGTTTCCTTCCTTCCTTCCTTGGCTGCATATGCCAAGCCAGCTGACCCTCTAGCTGTGGAGAATTCTCTCAACTCTGCTCCCCATTTTGTCAAATGCTTGCTGATCTTTCCAGAGGGTCAAGGGTTCAAACTCGGGTCCTCACACAGAAGCGAGCGTTCTTGCCTATTGAGTCATCTCTCCACCTCCACCTTATCTCTTCAGTAAACCTAGAGTTCTCCAGATTGCCAGCAATGGGTGCCCAGTTAGCTCCCGGGATCCACCTGTCTCAGCACATACAGCAAAAGCGGCACAGACCTTTTGTGTGAACTCAGCCTTTTGGGTTTGTGCTGGGAAATTTGAACTCACGGTTTGGGGGCAAACACTTTACACACGGAGCCACTGGCCCAGCCTAAACATTTTCTTTGACTACAGAGAATTAATGATAGGCCCTTAAAATAACCCCTTGAGTTATTTTAAATCAGGAACGACGCCCCTCTGTCTACTAGGTTCTGTGTGCCTCCAAGGGGAAGATGATGTCTGAAGACGGGATGCATGGTGAGATTTCAATATTATGACCTCAACTTGGCAATAAGGTACCACTCATGGGGTAACCAAAGTTTCTAAAGTGACAGAAGCAATTTTTTTGAAGCCAGGTTGTGGCTTGAATGTGTAATGTCCCCCTAGTCTCGTGTTTGAACATGTGGTCCCCAGCTGGTGGTACTGCTTGGGAAGCTGCGGAACTTTTAGGTGGTGGAGTGGTCCTGGAGGAAGTATGTCACTGGAAGTGGACTTTGAAGTTTCATAGCCTGGTTACACTTTCTGTTTTTACTCTCTATTTAGAGACTGCCAGCCTCATGCCCCTACCATCGTGCCGTCTCTGCAATGATGTGTCTATCCTTTCTGGAAGTATAAACCAAAGTAAGTGTAAGCTAACAATACACCCCTCTTCTTTTTATTATGTATACAGTGTTCTGCATACACGTAAACCTGCAGGCCAGAAGAGGGTGCCACCTCTCATTACAGATGGCTGTGAGCCACTATGTGGTTGCTGGGAATTGAACTCAGGACCTCTGGAAGAGCAGACAGTGCTCTTAACGATGGAACCATCTCTCCAGCCACCCCCTTCTCCCTTTTAAGTTGCTTTGGTTGGGATATTTTATCACAAAAGAAACTAATAACCAGGTTGACAACAAACATTATCTAGCAAAACAACCACTGAGAAAACAGCACCCAAGTCTCCAATAGCAGCAGCTCCATGGATATAGTTGTCCTTACATCCCAGGGGTTTACAAAGCAGGACAAGCCTTCGGAGCTTCCTGGCAGATGACAGTACTGTCATCCTACTACACATGTCCGTCTCTGTGTGTAGCTCTTCTGGGGCTCTGTAAAAGTAGGGGATTCTTTTGCTTCCACTGAATATAACAAATGTTGCTTTGGAAGCCAGGAGCCTCTGAGTTTATTACAAGGAGATCCTTATTCTGCATCAGCCAACCAGATTTCCTGCACAAGGAAGGTTTGCTCTTAACTATGAAGACTTAGGCTACAGATGAAGAAATGCAAAGGAAGAAATGCTAAAACAAAATTTTTCTCGTTTAACGCCGAAGGTGTTAGCATTGTTCATTTAGTTCAGTGGTTTAAAGATTTTGAGAGTACATGTTATCTGTCTTAGCAAAATAGACCTGACAGAAGTATCCAATTACGAATGAAGGCTTCCTGGGTTTCCGATTTCCTGCACAAATCCTACCTTACATTTCCTTCTGTGCCCTGACAAAAATACAGCATACAATTAAACCTTTGGAGTTGATGGATATGATGTAAGGCGCCCACTAACTACGTGACTTAACCATGGGGAAGTGAACTTACTTGCTCGTTTTTAGTAAGCCTGGTTTTGTTGTGAATGTCTGACGTGACCAAATTGAACCCGTGTTTCTCTGACAAGATTCTCAGAAGCAAGACCACGGTGCGACTGCCACACTTGCCGACTCTGTTGTACACCACCTGGCTGGGGAACGGAAGGACCTGGAAGGAGAACAAGAGACGTGGGTCAAAATGCAAGTCTTCCCCCAAGGTGGCAACACAGAATGTTGGAGGTGTAAATGAGAAGGATCGCCATCAAGCGGACCAAGGAGCAGAAGCAAGGAGCTGCCGTGCAGATAGAGCCCTTCCTCATATGATCTGAGAGAGAGCTAATCTACCCACACGCATTCAGACTTGATCCTGATCACGTTTCATGAACTCTATGAAGACTGACCATGAGTTGGCCTTGAAAACATAACATGGCGGTATATGCTTCAGTAAAAAACACTTTTTCTTTTGCAAGGCATGTTTTATCAGACCAGCTTAATCAAGGAAAACATAGTGACATTAAAGACTGATATCTGGGCTGTCATGGCACAAGCTTTGAATCCCAGGACTCGGGAGGCAGAGTCAGGTGGATCTCGGTGTGTTTCACCCAGCCTGGTCTAACAAAGTGAGTTCCAGGACAGCTAGAGCTACAGAGTGAGACACTGTCTCAGGCAACCACAGCAAAAAATGATGTAGCACTTATATATCCTAAAATCAAACTTATAAACAGAACAATTTAAGGAATTTCTTCTTAGCGGATCCCCCATTATAAAAGCATCACCCACCACCAAGTCCCAGGAAACTGCCATGACTAGCAGGAGTCCCTCGTACCTGTTAGCAATCATTTCCCACACTACCCCAAATTCCTATAACCGCCGACATATTTTCTGTCTCATGGTATTACCTAGAGGGTTCTAGAAAAATCATGTAAACGAGACAAAACGCGTGTCTTTCTGTCTGACTTTTACTTAGTAGAACACATCCCGGAATCAGCAGTGCTGTAGAATGGCCCAGTACTCCATCCTCTTACATGGCTGGGTACGACTGCATTGCATGAACTAACTGGTCCTTCCTACACGTCAGTCGGCAGACACATGGATCATGTTTCACAGTAACACTGCCGTGGGGGATGTGTGTACCTGACTTTGTGTGGACATGTGTTTCAAATCCTCTTATATACATACCTTCAAGTGGAGCTGCTGGGCCTACAGCAACTCAATGTCCAGTGTTTTGTGCACCTGCCAAACTGTTTTCAATACAGCTGCACTATTTTATATTCCCATCAGTAACGCACGAGAGTTCCAGTTTCCCCAACATCCTTGCCAAGCTTTGCAACTGCCTGTTTTTGTGTTTTTATTTTTTATTATAAACATCCCAGTGGTGTGAAGTGATATCTCATTGTGGTTTTAAGTTATATTTCCCCAGTGACCAATAAGGTTGACTGTGTGTGTATGTGTGCGCGCGCGCGCGTGTGTGTGTGTGTGTGTGTGTGTGTGTGTGTGTGTTGGTCACTTTCTATTTCCTTTGTAGAAATGTATATTTAAAGTTGTTACATTGTCAAGTTGAACTGCCTTTTTATTGATTCATTTATAGAGTGTTGCATTCATATCTTCACTTTTTTATAGAGAAATGAATTACATTTTTTCCTCATCCTCTGGGTTTTCTTTTCACTTTAGTGACAGGTTCCTGAGAAGTCTAAAAGTTTTAAGTCCTGGTTGGATCCAATTTTACTTTGGCTACTTGTGCTGAAACCTGTCTAAGACAAACCCCGTAAGGGACAGAGCCATTTTCTTCTCGGGTTTTACACAGTCAGCCCAACAATTTAGACCTTTGGTCCACTGTGAGCCCATTCTCTATATCACATTGGTCCAGGCCTAGTCATATACACTTGCAGGCAGCTATCAAGTTGCCCCAGCAACATTTAGTGACCGACTATCTCTTTCTTTTTCTGTCAACCTTACCAACAATTTACTGTGCTGTTAATCTGTGTTCATCCTGGAAATGACCTAACAGTTGTCATTAGAACAACTTTGATAAGGTTTTGAAATCAGGAAGGGTGAGTTCCTTCAGCTTTGTTCCTTTGGTCATTGTGAGTTCCTTAAATCCCCAGAGGGAATGTCCAAAGTAATTTTATAATCACCTTTCTGCCAACCCTCCCCCCCCAAAAAAAAACCCCAAACCAAAAATGTCCCAGGTAACTCAAATTTTACTAGCAATTCCATTTAATGCACAGAACAAGTGGGGGACGATTGCTGTCCTAACAATAGTGTCTTCCATTCATGAACACATGTTGCTTTTCTACTGATTTCATTCTTTAATTTCTTTCACTGATATTTCATAATGTTCAGTGGAAAACCTTTATAGTCTCAATTTATTCTTTTTGATGTTTCATGGGTGGAATTAATTCCTTAATTTTATTTTTGGATGGTCCATTACCAGGAATACAGCTAATCTCTGCATATTGATCTCGAATCCTGTATTATCTTGCTAATTCATTAATAGCTCTAGTGATTTCTTCCATCCTTACTTGGGAAATTCTACATATAAGATGATGCCGTCTGCAGATTTTTTTTAAACTTCATCTTTTCCAGCAAGGCTTTCTCTGATGTCTCTCTCTTTCCTAATGACCCAGTGATTTTGCTTGACTACAGAAGCATTGCAAAAAACACCTATGATTAAATATTTATACCCCAAGAGAGTTCTTATTTCCATCTCAAATGACCAGCATTGTGCACTAGTTGATGAATCATAATCAAAAGTTTCATTCAGCATCTTCCCATAACAGAAGGTTTTAAGAAAAGCCCAAAGGAAAACAACACAGCACAACACAAAAGCCATAGGCAAACACACTCAAAAGTTACCTCTGTACCCACAGAGTAGGTTATTGTCTTGAAATAGCTTACAGGTATGAACATAGAAACAGCCATAATATCTCCATCATTCACTTAGGGACTAGTCACACGCTATTATAACATAATTCTTCCCATTCCTATTTCTCTCATAGCCACATCATTAGGGCCAGTCTTCTGGCCTTCTATGATAGGTCCTCACACTGCCTAAAGTGCACCTCGTATATACAAACAGCCTCGGCAGATGTTGACCATGTATTGGTCACTCTAATGAATTTAATGTGGTACCTAATGCTTATAGAGTGATTCTGCTAAAATTTGAAATCAAGAAAAATCTTCAAATGCCGATGATCTGGCTAAGAAAACACTAACAAAAGTTACCAGAGTAAAAAGATGCTCACAATAATAGGTCTTTACTTAGAATATTATTGGTGAGTACCCTTCCCCAAAGTCTGTTCTCTGGTAACAATGGCAACCCAGATATTTAGAGAGATCAGTCATGGTTGCAGGTGTGAGTATGAGTCAAGGAGCTTGGCCTGGGTTGTCAAGTTTAGGATGAAAATGTCAATATAGAATTGGTTACTTGGTCCTCCAGTATGACCAGGGTAGGTACTGACTGCAGCCCTGACAGCTGCCCATATAAACACGGGGTTCAGTTTCTCTGCAGAAATCAATTGCTTGAGGCTGGTGAAATGGCTCAGTAGACCAAGACAGTTGCTTTTAAGCCTGACAGCTTGAGTGTGAGGAAAGAAGGACCAACTCCTGAAAATTGTCCTCTGACTTCCTCACAGATGACATGGGAACCTTCTGCCACACACATAACAAATAACTGTAAAAGATAAAAGGAAAGACATTACTTGAAAATTGGCCTTTCCCTGTGGACCCCATGTTGTAACACAATAGCAATCACTGAAGAGAATTGTTACATCTGCATCTGTAACATAGAAGCTAGGAGTTTAGATGCAAATAAAGTACCCTATGCTGGCATAGCCAACATGTCTAAGAAGGGTTAAAGGTAGACATGTGGCCCTTGCTAGAGACCTTAGGTGAAAGTATTCTATCTCCTGAACTGCTTGGAGATCTGATATGGAACCACACTGACTGCCCTACTGTTTCCTTTTGCTAATAGTTACTTTTAATTTAGTGATGAGTAAGTCTTTAAAACTGTTAACATAACTCTTTCATTCGTGTTGTGGGAAGTCACAAATAATAGTCATTGTGGTTGTCTGAAAGAAAATGGCTCCCAAAGGGAGTGACACTATTAGGAGGTGTGGCTTTGTTGGAGTAGGTGTGGTCATGTTGGAGGAAGTGTGCTACTGTGGAGGCAGGCTTTGAGGTTTCATATATGCTCAAGCCATACTCAGTGAATCAGTTCACTTCCTGTTGCCTGCATAAGATGTAGAACACTTAACTACCTCTCCAGCACCATGTGTGCCTGCAGGCCACCATGTCCTACCATGAAGATAATGGAAGGAACCTCTGAATTGTAAGCCAACCAAATAAATATTTTCTATTATAAGAGTTTCTATGGCCGTGGTATCTCTTCATAGCAATAGAAACCCTAACTAAGACAGTTATAAATATTTCTAATTGTGAGAGATGCTTACACTGGCTGTTGGTGGCTCACACCTTTAATCCCAATACTCGTGAGGCAGAGACAGGCGGATCTCAGTGAGTTCGAGGCCAGCCTGGTCTACAGATCGAGGACAAGCTCCAAAGCTACACAAAGAAATCCTGTCTCAAAAAACAAACAAAAAAAAGATGCTTACATAAGATCAAAAATCCCTGCACCATGACTGCATCTGTATCTACAACAACAATTGGAAAGAAAGGTGTCTTAGGACACTGTCCTTCATGCATAACTTGATCACTGTCCTCTGAAACTATCTCTGAACAAGATTGGGCCTGTTGACTTTTCATGGCAGAGAAGGGGCTCTTGTGGCTCCAGCCACCCCTCGTCTCAGTTCAAGATTATTAGGGGAGTGGGCTCATAAGTCCCTAACCTTCCGTAAGATTATATGCAGTTTCAAACTCATTGTCTCGCCAGGCTAGACGTGAGTGAAATCCTCTCTGTGGTCCGTCACTGGTGTCCCATCAGGGATGAACATATATTTGTCCCCCTCCTCCAGGAAAAGTTCTCAAAAGAAAGGGAAAATACAACATTCTCACTGTGACTATTTCCACCTGACACTGATAATGGAGTCATGTAATGGGAATTGGAGAACGAGGCTTCTCAAATCACATTGTGACCTTCAAAGGCACACTGTGATGTGACCTTCAAAGACACACTATGATACACCATCACACACAACCCTCTCTCCTGTG